CGCTGACCAATTTTGAAGCGAGAAGTAGAAAGCTCGAAATCACGTCATTCCGTACTCCTTTAATGCGCCGAGACGAAATGCATCCAATCAGAGGCGTTCTGGAAACAAACGTCGCCGTGTGGAACGCGGTTGGGCGCTTGCTGGCACGTGGCCCGTGTTGTTTTTGCTCTAAACGCATACAAACATTACTTTTCTTATTGAGCTTTAGAGACACGGTATATTTGTTTAAGAAGATCTGGAGCAACATTTGAATATATCACGGGCGATTTCATAATCACACGTGCGCTCCAAAGAGGAAATATTCGAAAATATGCAGATAAATGAACCCAGCAAAACCAATTCGGTGCTGCGTAATATATGCCGCGTAAAGTACGCGCGCAGCAACAATGTTTTTCCAAATTTCCATTCATGTGACGTCCGTGCAAGCCATATATTCGATCCAGCTGCATCGCCTCTCATGATGAACCGTTCGAAACCTTTTTTGCGTGTTCGTCGTGCCTCCTCGTTATGCCCAGCTGCATGCATCTACACAAAGAACACTGGCGAAATGAAAGGGCACCCTCGCTCCACTGGAAGCTCACCCAAAGTGGTGTGTCGCAGAGTCCGGCCATGGGCTCGCACTCGGGACTCCAACAAACAAGCGATGTTGAACTTGAATGTACTGTTCACGACCTGCTGGTATCGCTGGTATTTCGAACACAGATGACGTCGTCTCGGGAATCTCGATGTACATCTGCTGCTTCGTCTGCTTCACTGTGCCCTCAGTTCGCAGCTCGGAGCACGTGGAGATAAAGCTCGCTCAGCAAGATCGGTGAAGCGTGGCAGTTCGATGACGAGGTTATGGAGTGCCCGGTCGCAGATTTGGAGCGCGAGGCTCTGGTAGCACAGAGCATTTCTCGGGGAATCTAGAGTGCCTTCATACACGCAATCTGGTGTCGCTCAGCTCGAGCGTGTAGCTTTGGCTAAGGCATAGTCGCCATTTTACCGCCCAAGTCACGCACCGAGTGCGCGAGAGCGTCACGCGCTGGCACATTCAGGGCAACAATGGATGTCTTCACCCTGAGACAGACAGACATGTAGGCACCCTAGGGGAATCCGGTGTTCAGCGCACAGCTTTTGCAGCGGTGAGGACCCGGAACATGGTTTTCAAACCCGACGAGAGAAGTGGTCGCCCGAGAAACGCGAGAAATACGACCGGACATTTCATCGCTCGGGACAAGTGTGTTTCGGTTTCTCACCTAAGCGGGGTGCCCGTTACATGACTTTTGTAAAGGGGCTTTAGACTCTTGTCTGCCTTTTCCTTTTCGGCGGCCGCGTCACGTGACGATCTGCCAGGCTTTACAGAATGCCTGAAGTCGCTCTTGTCCCTCTCCAAGGTTATAGATGATTAACCCGGCCGTCACTCAAAATTAGAACATAATAGGTGAAAGAAGTTCAAAATGTTGACCACATGTTTTACTGTTGACGACGCCACTGGTCTGAACCATTAGAGAGTTTTAGTAGATCGTTCCGATACCTCCGATAGCCCCGATAACGATACTATGCATGCGCAAGGGAGGCGGTGGCGGAGTATTGGGTATCGTTATCAAAGTCATTAGAACGATCTACTAAAACCCTCTATTATAGAACTCAGACGATAAGAGCGTGCAAGATCCATGCGCAGTCTTCCCAATTGTTTGAATTAACATCCAGTTATGAAGACGTGAACGCCCCACAGATTTTCGTTTGTTCCGAGCAAAAATTTGAGTGAGAGTCACATGCTTGAAAAGATAAGAAGGGGTCACGTACACCTATTCAGCCAGTCATACCTTGACAATTCTATGTCGTCATTATCCGACGCTCTAGTCTCTGACCGCACGTTTTTGACCCTAATAGGCAAAAACTTCCTAGATAACGAAGTCGAAGTGATGTTAGAGATGTCGCCATCAGACAAGGGCAACGCTGGTCACAGACTGGACACGACGATTGCGTCGACGTTCGGCTCATGCTTGACTCGAAGCCGAGCGTTGACGGGGCTCTCGTTTCCAATCTGACTCCAGTGTTGGCCTTCGACTCAAAAATGGCAGCGCTACGGCCTTGTCTACTAGGCGGTGTTGAATAGGCACGCCTAGGGCCACTAAATAAGCTACGCTCATTTAGTGGCTTTAGGCACGCCTTACGCAGCAGCATTTGGTTTTTTTTTGCCATTTGCAGTGTCGTCGATACACGGAGTACACAACGCGGAATACGAAGCACAAATGACATGGTAGTTGTAGTGGTCTATCTCGACGCAAACCCCGCAACATAGCAACATGTAATCGTTCTATACTTTGTCTAAACGTCCGTACAACAAATTCTAAGAGACACGACATGCCGGCTCCCTCTGCAGTTATTGTGTCTGGGTCCACCGTGGTTCCGCCATAGCCTCCTCCATACTCACAAAGCCTGGCAGTTCGACGACGGAGCCATATAGAGTGCCCGGTCGCAGATTTGAAGCGCGAGGATCTGGCAGCATACACAGAGCATCAAAGAGACATTTCTCGGGGAACCTAGGGTGCCTAGATGTCTGTCTGTCTCAGGGTGAAGACATCCATTGTTGTCCGGAATCTGCCAGCGCGTGACGCTCTCGCGCACTCGGTGCGTGACTTGGGCGGTAAGATGGCGTCTATGCATAAGCCAAAGCTACGCGCTCGAGCTGAGTGACACCGGATTGCGCGCACTTCAAAATGCATAAAAAAACGATTGGGCGGAAAAATGGCTGAGATGTCACCACTCAAGCAAACGCGCGCGTGTGTATGAAGGCACTCTAGGGGAACCTGGACGTCAGCGCACAGATTTTGCAGCGGCGAGGACCGAAAGCACATTTGTCCGCTCGGGAGAAGTGTGTTTCGGCTTCTCGCCGCAGCGGGGCGCCAGTCACGTGGCTCTCTTTTATATTCTGCATGTGTCAGGGTCGGAAGAACGCCTGATCCAGTCTGAGGTGGGTTTTTCACTGACACACATGGAAGAAGGAGGCGCAGAGGTGAAGTGGATGCTGCCGGGCCTCACCTATGCGGTCGATATTGTATTGAAGGCGGAGACGATGGAGGACCTGCAGCGTCAAATATGTATATGTGAGACGGAGGCGGCTACGTTGGGCCTTCGGTTCAGCACCATAACTTTGGCAGTCCTTCAATTAGCCGGGTCTGAAAAGGCTAAATTAAGCAGTCTGGTGCTGAACGGCGAGCAAGCACAGGTACAGGAGTCGTACAAATACCTGGGAGTTGTACTGACCAACAAGCCGGAGTGCTTGTCCGAGCATTATGCTCACCTCCGACAGGCAGCCGTGCGAGGTACGAGTGTACTCCGAAAACGTAATCTTTGGAGTTGCAATCGTTTTCTGGTGACTCGCGAACTCTGGAGGGCGGTTGTGGTGCCTGGATTGACCTTCGCCAACGCGGTTCTTTGTGTCCCTGGCATAGTGCGGGAAGTCATGGAACGTCGTCAACGAGAGGTCGGCAGGCAAGCTCTGAGCTGTCACGGAATGGTGGCCACCGAAGCAGTCCAGGGAGGTCTTGGGTGGTTGACGTTTGAGGCCAGGGAGGCGACCAGTAAGATAACCTACGACAGCCGTCTCCGTCTCATGGACCGCGGCCGGTGGGTCAGGGGACTCTTCGTTTACGCGTATCTCACGGGAGTGCAGATTGGCTGGAGGAAGCGGCTCTATCAGTTAGAGAAGAAATACGGGTTCTTTTTAACCCCTGTAACTATTACATAAGATAGGAAGTGGGAACTGGAGATACGAAAGAGGATGAGACAGGAGGAGGCGGCTCGGTGGGCAGAAACGGCAAACTCCAAGTCGCCGCTATATATGTACCATTAATATAAGCACGAAATTTTGGCAGAGACTAGACTATACGACAGCAGCCAGGCAGCCGGCTCCTCTTTCAGTCACGCGCAGGAGGGCTGCGAACGCAGGTGTATCGCCGTCGCTTCAACCAGACGGTGGAATGTGCAGCATGCCGTGTGTGTGGCCTGGCGGATGAGACAATTGAACACCTTGTGCTGTCGTGCACCGGTCTGCAACCAGTTCAACTGGCGGAGTGTGAACAGGCGACCCGGGAGCTTGCACTGGCAGAGGCATTCGGCTTTGGGTCTGCTTCCAGCTCAGTTGCAGATCCTGCGGGTCTGCAACTGCAAACCACGAAGCGAAACTAGAGAACAGGTGGATGCTAGTTCACCAACGGGGATAACCGAATCTCCACTGGCTAGGTCTCAAACTCTACGGGACCGCCCGATTTAAATGGGAAGAGCCGCAAACCATCATTGTCGTCATCATCATAATCATCCTGTCCGATGTGTGCCGCTCCACCTTTTCCATTTCGGTGGCCGTTTCTCGTGGCGATATGCCAGTTGTTGTTCTGTTGTGTGAATGTTTATACAGCCGGAAGTTAGTCTGCCTCATTGGGCGTCTGGTGTCTCAGCTGTAGGTGAGCAATTTAACCAGTGCGGTACAACCGCTAGCCTGGGGTTTTTAACGAGCACCACTCAGTAATGATACACGACCGCATGCCGGTACGATGCTCATCCAGATCAGAACAGGCGGGGGTGGGGATTGAGCGCAGGATCTCTGGGTATCTCTCGGTTCAGCAGCGCGAGCTTTCGCTCCACGTGCTCCGAGCTGGTGCGCGCTAGCCCACTTGGCCACCGATACCCTGATCTGCCAGTTTTACATTCTAAAGCCAAGCGCGTAGTTGTGATAAATACTGAAGATGCGAGCAGCTAAAAAAAAAAAAAAGAAAACAAACTGATTGCCAGTTTATCGAAACAAATGCGAGCGAAGAAAACGCTACAACACTCGGCTTCGCTAATGCTTATGAGGAAACATATTTTCTATCGTTTTTTCTGTAACCGTATAGCTAAAAACGTATGTATTTCATATATTACAGACATACAGGGTTCAACGAAACAGGGTTCAGCGAAACCAAAAAAGCCGTTTTATAGTTTGTTTTAGCATTGCTTCTGCTTTGCTTTAGTGCATGGCGATGGAACTTTATTGGGCATACATAGAACAATCAAACGAACACTAAACGCTACCATTCTTTACGCTCTCGAAAGCCATATTACGTTACTTTTATCCGGGTCAACTGCTTTTACGTCCCATTCTTATGTCAGGATGCTTCTTGTAGAGCTCTGAAGTCAGGATACGTCTGATAATGATGCGTACGATGCTTCGACAGTCAGCTTCAAGATCCCGTCCCCGCGACATTTGTAAAGTCCACACTAACAATTTTCAACCACCAGAATGGGAGCGTTTTTAAACCAGCTTATTGCAAGAAAAAAAAAAGGCGTCAATGGCGTAGCTTGAGCAGGTATTCACTATACGAAGGCAGTGTCTTAGTGACGGCTTTGTTAAGGAGAGCAGGCGGCGTTGTTCGTCATGTATAATCATGTATTGTTTCCTTCTCCCTCCTTGGCATTTCAGTTTTCTGAAGATAGATTTAAGGGCCGGGAGTTCCAACTTGCTCTTTGCCGTCGTGTCTCGCGAGAAGAAAGACACAACGAGGCTTCAGTCCGTGCGCACTTTTCACCAGAAACTGCAGCTTCGGACAGGACGCATTCCCAGACCTCTCCTACAACCAAAGGCCCTGTGAAAGGTCGCATCGTGTGACAGGGCCAGGTTTACGCGCTGGGCCATGGGGCTCTCTTTTCGCCGCAGAAACTGCCGGAAGGTCCATTCTTCGTTGTATTTCTCACAAAGTGACTCGGCGTAGTAGACAAAAAACAGCTGATCTGACGACCAGTGCTGTGCCGCGGCGAGTCTGTAGTCGGAGTAGTTATTGCTCAGGCGCCGGACTCCCTCGCGAAACTCCAGGTGTGCCATGCTGACAGCAACGTGCTCGTAGATGTTCCGATTCACAACGTCTGGCAGTTCGTAGACGATTTGCTTTTCTAAAGGGTCCATGACCGCAGAATACCTTTCGTTGAAGCACTGGCGGACTACTTTGTACCTTGACCTGGAAAGCGGGGTCCACGGATAGGTATGCTGGTCTGACGTTCCGAGCGCTGCCTCGAGGAGGCAATGAGCCAGACGAACACCTATTCGAGGTACTTGCAGAAGCGCGACGTAAGGAGACACGGGTGTCTTTGTGATGTTCGCTGCAGACACCGGAATGTACAACGCGCCGCTCTCTGGGTCGTAGGAACACTTGATATCGGATAAACGTCCAGTAAATGAACTACTTATCGCGGCCCCTGTTTGCGAGGCAATGTGTTGTGCATACGTTTGTGCCATGAGGTCCTGGTATGACACGAGAACCTGCGTTCGATTAATTTCAACGGGACGGAAGTGGATCGAGCTTTTCTTAATCCAGTCCGGGAAAAAGAGTGTCACTTCAATAGCTGTCAGTTTCTCAACTACAGTCTTCTTCATCTGCCGATCCATCCAAGATAAGTGCTCCACTGTTTCTACAAGACGCCGTTTTGTGTCTTTTGTTAGCCTCGCAAGATTGGTAAAGTTTAGCTTTGTCTTGAGAGCCATGTAGCCTAGCTGCAGCATCTGCGAGTCCAGGGCTCTCTCGGCCATTACCAGACAGTTGCGTTCTCGGCTTCGACCGGGAGTAATCACCTCGCCTACATCTTCAGGCGAAAATATCCAGAGATCATCGATGACACGATAGCCAATATAGTTGAGCATAACACGGAATGGCACGACGCTCATCACTTGCAGTAACCCCTGAGCATATTTGGGAGACTGGAGCATCAGAAAAACATTGCTTCTGGAAACATCCACGAGCCCCACGAGTGAGGTGTTGAGGTACACGAAGAAAGTTGACTTGGAGCCGTAGGTGGCTTCGTCTTTGCGCGCGGAGTTCAAGTTAGCCAGCCGGAGAACCACGTTCAGCACCTCGATGGCCGCAATGTCAGTCGTATTGTCGTCCGGCTTTATGAAGCGCATGGTCCTTGCTACTCTGGCCAGGAATTTAGTGACCGTACGATTATCCTGAAAATCCCGAATGGAAAGTGATGTCGCTGTGCGGCCCAGTGTTATCACGAGCGAAGGGCGTTTGTCTCGCTCTACTTTTATGTTGAATAGCGTGTGCAACCCAAGGAGGCGCACCGCCAAACCAGATATCCTCCATATGTCTGACGACGTCACGGGAGCTGACGAATCGAGTGGCCAACTGGCCAGGCCTAGCTTGCTGAGCGTGGCCTTGAATGGTCCGGTTCCAAGATTCCCAATGGCTTGATGATCCATGCAGCCTTTCCAAAGATCCACCACTCCTGAAACAGCCTGTTCACCGTCGGCTCTTCCACTCTTAATGTACTCCCAGACGATGTCCTGAACGTCTTCGATGACAAAGTCATTTGTGGACGCCGCGTCTTTCCGAGCTGGTTCCCGCCATCGAACAGAGCACACGAAATCGTAAAAGTTATTGCATGCACTTTGAGAAGGGTGCGACAGGTGAACCAAGTGACGACTCTCCCATTTGCAGTCGTTCGTCTTGCATAACTTGAATCCGGCATTGAGCGGTCGATGTGACTCTGTACTACGGTTGATAGCCCAGGGTCCGTGTAAAACAGCTACTTCATCGACATCGTCTTCATTGGAGCTCCGGTATCTGTTCCTGTTGTACATACCGTAAAGAGACAGTACACAAGCAGCGACACCTAATATTATCACAACGGTAGCGATGGTGTCGCTGCCACCGAAGCTGCGCCGCATGTAGTTGTAAGGAGCCATCCACGGGTTTTCCTGAGATTTTTCGTAAGCTGATGCCATGTTAATTTCCTCAGCGCTGATTGAAGACAAATATGAGTTCGATGTCACTGGCTGGTCGTTGACGTATCCGATTTTCCAGGACTCATCTGTCTCGCTTGATGTTGTTCCATCTCCGTAGGGGTAAGGACCGGCGTATCCCGCTGCCCTTCCTAGAAGAGGCGCAGAAGATGTGTGCCCGGTCGTAGGCGGCGTCTGGATTTGGAATGCAGTTTTCTTGGCTGGCGCAACTTCGATGTCTGCTGTAATAGATGGCGCTAGTGACAGGCCCGGCGGCGGGGCCGCGGGTTGCGGCGCGGGTGGCGGCGCAAGGTGCATGGCGGGCTGGGGATGCATCGTCATGACTGGAGGCTGGGCTATGATGATCTGCGCCGGTACGTTTGGCGACTCATACTGCATTGGTACCTCAAACTGTGCCCCATATCCGTTTACATAGCGCGGGAAACGTGGTGGCAGTCTTTCGAAGGATCGACCTCGACGGTGCGTGATAGGAGAAATAGTATGCGGTCTGTTGGAGTATCGCGGAGGAGGGCTAGCGAACATAGGACGACCGGGACGACCCGGGACGTCCAGGTCATCGAAGTAGTGTTTTAAAGGTGGTCGGTCAAACGACCGGCGGCGACGAAGCCGTCTCCCAAAATTGCGACTTGAGTCAGTGGACGAGCTAGACGTTGACGACGAGGAGGATGTGGGGCGCCGGGATCTCGATCGTCTCCTGGAGGAACGGGACCTTCTGGAGGACCTAGATCTCCTAGATGACCGGGACCTTCTGGAGGACCGAGATTTTGACCTTGATTTTGACGAGCGCCGTCTTCGTTTGGATCTTCTAGAACCTTCGGGAGACCTTGACCATGACCGACGTCTCTTGGGGGACCGGGCCGGGGACCAGACTAACGGCCGGTGCCCTGGATAGATCCACTCTTCTTCAATGGGAGGCGAGGATCGTCTTCTGATGCTCTCCCTTCGTGGTGGGAGCGCTTGCGGCAGAGGCTCTGGATCGTACGGGATTTCTATCTGTTGCTCAACCTCTGCCGTTTCCACGACGGCACCGCAGTTGGAGCACTCCGATGATGTCTGCCGCACAAAACCACCGGCCTTATCTAGACGAATAACTTTGGGAGGAAGTGCATCAGCCATTGTGGTCGAATCGCTGCCATTCAGCACGACGTGCGTCACGATGCGATACCTCTCCCTAACCATGGTGCTATCGCTTGAATCACTGCTCGGCGTCGTGGTGCGACTTTTTCGCGACCGTCTGCGTCTTGACCTTCTCCGCGGTAAAGTTCTGTACTCATCTAGGAGTCCCCTCGACCGTGTGCGTAATGTGTCGTCTGTCGGTGTTGAGATGCGCGTCGCCGTGGAAGGGCTACCAGCGGAGGTGATGGTAAATTTTTGGACCGGTGGAAAGGGAGCGGTTGCGGCGGTGGTTGCTGCGGAAGTAGTCGGTGTTGGTGACTTGGCGTCGCCTGCTTTTTCCTGAGAAGCCGCGTCAGAAGTAGTCGTTGGCTCAGACGTTTCGCTTGAGGTTTCATCTGCTTTCTTTTTCTTTTTCTTTCCTTTCTTTGACTTGGATTTTTTCTTTTTGCCTTTTTTTGACTTGGACTTTGATTTCTTCTTTTTGCCTTTTTTGGACTTGGATTTCGACTTTTTCTTCTTAGACTTGGACTTGGACTTCGATTTCTTTTTCTTTTTAGACTTTGACTTCGACTTCTTCTTTTTAGACTTCGACTTTGACTTCTTTTTAGACTTGGACTTAGACTTCTTTTTCTTTGATTTCTTTTTCTTTTTCTTCTTTTTCTTGGCATCGTCATCTTCCTCTTCGGCAATGTAAACCGCGTACGTCGACCCCGTGGGGTCCCCAGCGCTGAGGATGGCTGCCTTCGCATTTCTGATTTCTTTCTGAACCGTGTCCTGTATGCACCCTGTCGCGGATTCGAGGAGGTTACATGTCGACGTAATGTCCGCAATGTCAGGTTTGTTGGCGGTCACCTCGGGCCCGAAAATTTGCTCCGGTAAAGAGGGTCTGACGTACATAGCTGTTTCTGAACCCTTGTTCGATTTCACAGATCTCCTAGAACCCATGATGCTCGTGGAGCCCAGGGATCTTCCGAGGCTTTGTAATCTGTTTGAACCCGTGGACTTCTTTGATGCTGTGAGCCTTCTGTGTCCCATAGAAACCTTGGAGTTGTTCTGGACTCCACGTATGAACTTTTCCTGCGTTACGTCGTCCATAGCCCGGAAGCAGTCATCAATCATCTCAACCATAGCATCGGCAGGAAGCTGCGAGATCACGTTCGCTGTTGGTTGCTGAGGGACCTCTTCATAAAAATTATCCTTACGTATGTCCTCATTCATAAACTTCTCGAAACGTCGTCGTTCGCTTGGAGATCTTCGATTATTCTCGGTCGTGTCACAAAGTCGTTGGGCTCCACTTTCAAAAACAATGTCCAGCTTGTCCAAAACCTGTTGCTTGAAATCTTCCTGTAATTTTGGGATAATTGCTTGTGTGCGCTCCCCCTTTCGGCGTTCCTGAGAGGACGGAGATATTCTCACTTTCTCTGCAGATCGACGAAGTTTTCTGATTCCGCTCTCTAAGAAGCTGTCTAACTTATTCAGCACTTCTAATCCTTTCTGCACTGGGGTCACTGGGGTCACTGGTTCCAGTTCCTTTCCCTTTGGTCTGTCAGTGCTGCCTCCAAGTTTATTATCACCTTTGCGCTCACGAAAGGGTGCAGACCTGCGCACCCTATCGGATGAACGCCGTATGCGCTCTGCTCCACATTCAAAAGCAGCCTCCAGCTTGTGCAGTACTTCCAATCCGAAATCATCACCATGCTTTGGTTGAACCGCCCCAGGTACCACCGATTCCGAAAATTTACGGTTCACGAGAGTATCGAGTTCACGATACTCTCGTGAAACAGAAGACCTTCGACCTCGTTCTGCCGAATAACGCGGCTGTTTGAAATCGCTTTCGAGGACGGTTTGCAAGTCATTGAGTACCTCAGAACGCAACGCTTCTAACTCTGAACTGATTACTTCGGAGTTTGTGATATTCTGTTCTACAACCTCTTGGCGAATTGGCTGGAGACAAGTTCGATCAAACTGGTTTGAGCGTATCTTCACGTTGGACCCCAATTCCTGCAGTTCAGTCCGCACTTTGGCTTGGCCGTCTTGATTGAGTACTCTCGCGAGTGGGGCTGTGGTTGTCCGTTTTAGTGTAAGACTGCCTACTGCTGGAAGTTCAGCGGATTCTTCCGTAGTGTCTCGTGACATGATTTCCCAGGGACCACTATGACGGGAGGCAGATTCCAGTTCCCCACCGAGAACCACCGTGCAGGTGTCATCATTATCTGTCACTGAACAAAGACCAACCGTTTCCTTATTATTGATCTTGAGGCGAGAACTGACTGGACCGAACCCAGGAGGAGCGAACAAGGTAGGCGGTGTTTTCTGAACAGCGTAATGTTCCGCAACCTTGGATACAGGAGTGACATCAGAGTAGTGACGTCGCACGTCTGGCGTTCCCACCAACCTGTGACTGTCGACGTCTTTAGTTTCATCCTGATACGTGTCTTCGGGCCCGTGATGAAAAATCGCAGCAGCTTCTTGAGAAGGAACATTCGGCACATCTTGTTGTTGTGTCAGTGACCCCTTTTTTCTTAGAGTAGGCGACGCTTTATCCAACATCGTGTCATGAGGATCGTAGTCTTGTTGTTTAGATTTTGGCTCACCATGCTGACCCTGATGTGCCTTGTCTTGAAGCTGTGTTATGGTTTGGCTCTTTGCTACAGCGTCCTGGTGGTTCAGCGCTTGCTGGTTTTCAGGTAAGTCCGTGCCTTGCTGCGTCAAAATTTCTTTGCTGGTTTTGTCAGTGGGTGTGAAATGTTTGTGTTTTTTTTTCTTCAGATTGGATTTTGATCGGCGACGACGGCGCGATCGCTTGCTTCCTATTTCAGCAGGTGCTGACTCATGGTACGTATTTGGCGAAGGCGAGCTACCGATTATGCCCGATTCTATCATTACTTCATTCATGCCTGGTTTTAGTGGTTCCCCTGGCTGCACTAGAACGTGAACGCCACGTTCATCAACTCGGGCGACAGGAGCGACATCTTCCGTTGGCCTTTCAGCGGTTGCCGCTGTGGCCTCCGCGGCTGCCGTGGTTATCGTGGAATCGCTGTCTCCTGACGTCGTCCCACTGGTGGCTGTTGTCTTGCTTGTGCCAGCCGTCCTAGATTCCCTTCTCTTCCTTCGCTTTTTCTTTTTCTTCTTTTTCTTTTTATTCCCTCTTCTTGAGCGACTACGGCGTCTGGTGGACGTTGAGCCGGTTTTCGCTCTCGAAGGAGGTCCACTGGTAACCGGGTCCGGAGCTATCTCCTTGGTATCGTCGGTACGCACCAGCTTTCTTATTTCGCCTGAGCTACGGTCCTTCTCGAACTCCTGGACCCTGATGTTCCGTTCGAAGGACAGTTTCCGCAGTGGCTTGGTGACTTCTTGACTGCCTTGTATGTCATTTTTGTCACCGAGGGACACGTCCAACCGGTAGTCGTACCCTTCCTCACGAGGATCGGGCGGCAGTGGAGAATTCAACATGTCCGCGCCGCCTGTGCTGCCCCCGCCGTTGTTTAGGGCTAGCTAACCCTGAGGTTCATGGTCGCTGCCGCGGTCATGGACAGCCTTTCTCCTTGTTGTCGATCCGGTCTGGAACGAGTACCGTGACCAGGGTTGAACACTACCGCCGCTGCTGCGGCTGCTGCTCTGCTCGCGCTCGTGCACGGGGGCGATAGGCGCGCCTTCTTCCTCCTCGGTACATCATCGACTCAGCTTTTGCATAGCTTTCGAGATTACCCGTGTGGCCTGCCTTTTAAAAAGCCTCTGACACGCCAAAAAAAATTTTTTTTTCATGCTTGGCGTTGAAATGGCATGTCAGGACATTACAAAAATCTTTTTTCCCAATAGAGTTGCGTAGTTTTTTTTATAAAAAATAGAAATACGAGGCCCAATTCAAAGTTCCCGCCAGTGCACTGTGACGTAACAGTGTACCGCAAGGTGTCGGGGCGGTCAGAAGGGAGGCATCGTTTTACGTCACTAAAGGTGGGTTCGCAAGAAGTCACGTGAGTTTCACTATACATAATTAAACAGCGCACAAGGAGAGGGACAGAAAAGGAAGACAGAACAGGCAAGCGCTGACTCGCAACTGACGAT